GCATTGTTAGGGGTACAAGGTTTCTCTGCTCTACCAAAAGATTGCCTCTTGCTTTGTTATGTGTTCTTTGGGGCAGCCATCCTGATAAACTTAATCAGGGATGTGGCGGGTAAGAAAGTAGGCAAGTTCATACCAATTCCCATGGCAATGGCAATACCTTTCTACTTGGGTCCGTACTTTGCCATAGACATGTGTGTTGGCAGCTTGATATTGTTTGTCTGGGAGAGGGTAAACAAGGCCAAGGCGGATGCTTTTGGGCCAGCAGTGGCTTCTGGTTTGATATGTGGGGATGGCATATGGACTTTGCCTAGTTCAATACTTGCTTTAGCAGGCGTTAAGCCCCCAATTTGCATGAAGTTTTTGTCAAGGGCAATAAACGATAAAGTCGATAATTTCTTGAGCGGTTGAGCCCATAAAACCCGAGGTCAGCCTATGATACATATATATGCATACATTTGATCGTGTATCCAATGTTGTACCATATTTCTAAATTTCGTTTTCTGTTTTTCCACTGTAATATGGTTAGTATGGTAAAGGGAATCATGTTCAGATGAACTGTTCCTCAAACTAGGAAAAAGATTGAAAAATTATGTTTGTGTATTTGCGTATGCAGCATGTCTTTGAATGTCAGAACTTAAAACAACTTTTATGCACTTTACGATATTTAGTCTTATTTTAGCAGGGATCCAAGCACTTCCAAGTTCCAACACATACGATAATGATTTCCATTGGGTTTTTTATTTTTATTCGTCAAAGTATTAATTCTAGTTCTTGAGCTTTTTTAAAGGATAAATAGTCTTTAAACCCTTTTTTTTTAACCATTTGTGTCCCTCAACATTTCAATTTGGTACCAAAATGGTTCTTTCCATTAAAACATCTAGTCCTTCCTTTAAAAAATCCGTTGACTCTAAATAGGATGGTGCCATTATTTGCAATATTGGCCCCTTGACTTACATTCGATTGATACTCTAGTTCTCAGACTTCTAATTTTTTCAATTTGATTTCAAATTTTAGTTTTTCTTCTACTCATATACCAATAAAATTAAGGTTTCAAAGCACCAATCTTTTGCATGAAAATTCAATCCATCAAACTCTGTAAAATTTTAAATGCTGTGCAATTTCACCTAGGCTGCAAAATTCTTAATTTTATTTGTTATGATATGTTAAATTTTCATCTGAAAATTTTTGTTTCAAAAGTGGAAAAATCAAACTAAGAATACTATTATTGAATGAAGGGCAGGGACAGATCTAGCGTAGGATCGGGCGCAGCCGCCTCCTAAGCTTTGAAAAAATGTCAAATATGATGCAATAATTTTTATTTACTAAATTTATATTGTTGGAATCTGAATTATAGGGGTCAATTCAAATAT